TCTCCCTCAAGCATGCTTTGAGTTGCTTCCTCTCCAGGTCGAGGAGGCCTGTCCCAATTTTCACACCTTTGTCTAGATCATTGCCGAGGAGGATGACTTTAAAATCTCCATCTGGGATGGGGCACACGGGATGGAGAGGCTCTCTGTTTTCAGCGGGTTGGGCACCTCCTTCGTCCCTCTTCTCCTCCTTTAACTCATCTCTGGCTGAAGCGATGTCGAGGTCCACTAAATTGATGTAATGTGATTACGTATGTTCCACTGTTCGAGATGGATTATCGTCCGCTGGTCGGGCTTATTTGCTGGACGAGGACTTGGGCGTCGTGTCGATTGAGTTCTGTCCCTTAATGGCTGCTAGGAAACATCTTCTTGCGGCCTCAATATCCCCGTGCATGGTGATAATGCGACCCCTCTTTGTATAGTACTTCATCTTCAAATGGACCATTGATGGCGCGGTGGTCAGCTCAGCCACAATTGGCCTTCCCAAGATGCAGTTGTACAGAGACGGGAACTCAATGACGAAAGAAGCAAACTGTAACTTGTCTGGCCGTTGCTTCTTCCCTGAAGGTGACAAGTAGCTCTACATAACCCCAATGCCTGATGGTCGTGCCATTAAAACCTTGTAGGTCAGATCCCACATATGGTGTCAAATGGGTATGGTCGAGCTGGAGAGTGGTGAACAAGTACACGTACATTATATCGACGAAGCTCCCTTCATCGACCAGAATTCAGCGGACGTCAAAGTTTTCCATCTTTTCCCTTGCCAGCAGAGGGATGTTGGAGTTGGGTGCCCCACCTGGAAGTTCTTCAAGATAAAAGGTGATAGGCTCATAGTTTCCTTAGAACCCGTCGAGGGTTGTGTTCAGAGTTGAGCTCGCGTCGATCAGATCCTCAAACTTTCTTTCCATCAACCTGATGGTGAATTTGTAGAATCCCCTTCCAGATATCACCATGGAGGTGGGGAATCTTTCACATGTATTATAAACAGAGATGGGAAGGTCATCCTTCTCGGGGACGAAGAAGTCCTCAGGTCGAGAGACGCACAGGGCGACCTGTATATTGGGGGCGTCGGAGGAGGGTGGTGTCTCTTCCTCGACCCTCTTTGTTTCACGAATGTCCTGTCGGGGAGCCTCGCTCCTCTTGGTGTACTACCTCAAATGACCCTCCTTGATGAGGGTTTTGATTGCATCCTTGAGGTGGATGCAATCTTCAGTGACGTAGTTGTGACTCATGTGAAAACATAAAAACTTGGTCTTGTCGACCCCAGGTTTAGAAGGTGTAGGCTTGGGAAACCGAACGCCACCTTATATGAATTCAGAGTTGATACACTCGACGAGGATTCCCTCACGGGGAGCCATCATCAGAGTGTACTCGGTAAAACAGTCTGTCAGACCTCTGTGTTCGTGTGAGTCAAGAGGCTTATCGTATCTTCTTTTATGCCCGCCTCGACGGGAGGCGCCAATATCGTCATGCTTCAGGATTTTGGTGCTCTCCCAATTCCTCGAGTCCCGGGCATTGTTGGCCATCTCTTTCTCCTCATAGGTGATGTAGGATTGGGCCTTGTAGAGGAGATTCTCTCAGGACTTGGGAGTCTCGATGCCGACTACTTTTTTGAAATCGCTGCCAGGATGCAACCCTTTCTCGAGCAGGTACCTCTTCATACAATCAGTCATGGTGACTTGGATGGCCTCACGATTAAATCGCTCAATATATGCTCGGAGGGGCTCGCCATTCCCTTAAATGATGGCCTCGAGGGACACTTTAGTTTTGGGGTATCGTCGATAGGCCATGAAGTTCCTGCTAAACTGAGTTTTCAAAACCTTCCATGAGGTGATTGACTATGGGGCGAGGCTTTTGTACCATTCCATGGAACTTTTTCTCAGAGTCGTGGGGAATAATCTGCACCTGATGGCTCCCCCGACATTGTCGTAGTTAAGCATTGATTCAAAGCCCTCGACGTGATCGTCGGGGTCTGTAGTTCCACCGTAAGTGGCCAAGGGCGATGGTTTTTCCATCCGGTGGGAATTGGGGTCTCCATGTTTGCCCAAGATAGTGGACCACAGGGGTCATCTTCGTCGCTTCAGTCAGGGGAGCGCGACGAGGAGGAGTCGAATCGAGGGCCTTTACGGCGTGGTGAATGTCTTGGTCGACTCCTGTGTTTCTCTGGATGTCCGTCGGCCTTGTTCCTCTTGGGAACTGTGGATCTTCATTCTTTGTGCAGTGGGGTACGATTGTGCTTCTTGACAACTTCAGGTTGGGGTCTCTCCACTCGCGGGCCTCACCCGATTCGACGGGGAGAAATGCTTTAGGATTCATCTCGTTGATGTCTTCGCGGGGGAGAATGAGAACATGTATCTTATTGGTGTCTTCTGGCGGGGGAGCGTGGTCGGCGAGTCCTCTCCAGCATTCTGATTCGTTCTCCCTGCTAGAAGATCAGGTAGTTTGGTCTAGTTGATCGCTGCGAACAAGGACACTATGGTGGGATTAACATTGGCAGGTACAAAGATTTCATGGTACAATGTAGGCTCCTCGACCTATCGGTGAGGGTTGTCGAGAGGATGTGAATGGGTGGAAGAGGAGGCAGTCATTCTGCCCCTGAGGTCATGTTGTTCATGAGCGACGACCTCATTGTTGTCGAGGCTGCCAACATTGACAAAATAGACAGTCTCGTCACCATTGTTGTTGTTATTGTGTTGGCTGGCTATGATGATCGGTAGGTATTGATGCGTTTTATTTAGTCTTTAGTTTTGGAAAAAGACGGGGAAGCAAAGGTTTCCCAGAAACGGCGCCATTGATCATATCGGAACCAGAGAGATCTTTGTGACTTGCAACACTTGAGCTTCTGCTGTGAAGGAAAAGTGGGGGGGTACATGCAAGACACTTTGATGCCAAAGTAAGGTTCAAAATGAAAATGCAAGTAAGTAAGAGTGAATAGAATAGTGTACATGATCTTCTAGTGAAATAGAATATTTATAGCCCAAGCGCTGGGTCAAGGTCCCCATTTTGGGCCGGATGCCCAGACCTAAAATGGAGACCGGCAGGATCCTACATGGGTAGAGGAGACCACTTCATGGTCTATATCCTAGTTCAACTGCCTTGTGATATTTGGAGGGTAAAAACCCGTTCTTTTCGGGAGCAGGATAACTTTGTGATATTCGGAGGAACGTTGTTCACGTACCTTTGGCGGGAACATGGAAGAGACATATTTGTCGGGCACATGCAGGAGATACCCCCGACGGGCAAGTGGAGAAAGAAGTCCTCGAAGGGCACACGTAAGAGACGTTCACGACGTGCACATGTTGAGGAGGAGGTCCCCGACAAACACGTGTGAGAGACGTTTCCTAACAGTCATAACAATATGGGCCACAATAGTGGACCTTCTTCGTAGTAGAGTTGGGTTGGACCTTGCCCGACGACGGACCAAACACAGACTCAATCTAAAATATTTTTAAATAAGTTATATAACATAATTAAATAATATTTTTATTGAATAACAATGTATTTTATACTTTCAATGTACTATCTTTTAATTCAACGTTTTAAATTAAAAAATAATTATAATTAACAGACGGTGTAAAATTTTTTTTACACTATTAATATATTTCAATTAAATTCCTTACGAACATCCTCTTATCGTATCTTACGAGTAATAAATGTGAACTATGATCATATCTTTGAGTGTGTTCATAACAATGTGTATTTCTAGCAAAGTTTGTTAGTTGCACTTAAGAGTTTATTTTAATAGACTTTTCAAGAGAATTTACCCAATATGTCTGAACTAGGGGTGGGCACCGGTTCGGGCCGGTTCGGGTTCGGGCCCAAACCCCCAATCCGAAGTTATCCACGGGTGGTATATTACGACCCAAATCCGACCAAATTATGATTCGGATTAGTCGGGTTCGGGTTGCATCGATTTCGGGTATCTATATGATTAATTTCGGGTACCATTTTTAATGGGCTTATTGAAATATTAAGCCCAAATTCAGAATTTAGTAGTTTTACCCCCTTTTTTTTGTACAGTTTTCAAAATTTTCATTTAACTACTTAAAATTTCCAAAAAAAAAAATGACATACTCTATAATATAAATTCATAGTTAAAAAACATTACAAATTAACATAGTATCAAATTCAAATACATTACAAACTCCAATTCAAATACATTAAAAATTCCAATTTAAATAGATTACAAATTCCAATTTAAATAGGTATCAAATACATTACAAATTCAATTAAATTTAGCAAAGCCTACATAGTAACACAACCAACATATAAACTCCAATTCTTTGAGATTAATCCATTCCATAAAATAACCGGGAAGCTTCTTGCACTCCTGCACTCCTGCATAAAAGCTATTTGTTCCGTATGAAACAGTCTCAAGCTAAACATGGACAAACAATTGCTAAACTAAATAGTATAGTAATTACAGATATTTATGGCACTTGCAAACATAATTAACAAAAAAATTAAAGTAAATTGGAACTACAGTATTTGACTTCATATGAACTATATGAGAGGTACTCACCAATTCTCACTCATGAACTATATGAAGTATATATTAGCATCTTTACTATTCAAAATTAAAACAACAGAAGCTGGGACACAAAATCTATTTCTTCTTTTCTTGCATCATGCCAACAACTAAAGCCCTTATGAATCTTGTCTAAAGCTATAATGACAGGACATGAAAGCAGTTCCTATATAAGATATATAAAAAGCATAAACCCCATTCCCTTCTTTAACATCCAAGTAGAGTAACTTAAAAGTCCATTTTTCAGTCATAATTTCACAGGCAGGCATAAATTAAAGAATAATAAGTCACACTTCTCATTTCAGAAGTCACACAATCAACAATAAAATAACACATTCACAAGTCACACTTCGCATTTCAGAACAGCATTCACAAGTCACAACTTCAAAAAGCAAAATCAAAACATTCAAAAATTAAACGCTACCTGATCTTTATCATCGTGACAGTCTGATGCTACTGTTGAACAAGGCAAGAACTATAATTGGACTGCAGCAAGAGAACCATCTTTCTCCCTTGTACCCAACACAGCTCTAGAGTCACCAATGTGGACTTCCTTTGAAAGAAAGCATTGAGGATGAAGAATTTATCTGGTCCAGAACAAATCATAACTCAGAGATGATCTCCATAAATAAAAAAAATCAACCACCTTCTCAGCTGAAAGTGGTGGAGGAGGAGGTGGGGGTGGGGGTGAAGGTGGCAATGAATCTAGATCTAGTGCACCCATATCAATCTCATGACTTAATAGCTTTGGAATTGTTTCCATTCTTTGTTCATCTTTCTCTGCTTGACGATTCTCTTTTGGCCTTACAACAGCCCCTTTCAGTACTGTCAAAAATTAAAATTTACTTAAAAAGTTATATGATTAAAGTGGTAAAATCCTTACAACGGAAACTAAATGTTAGAAAATGATTTATGGAACAAAAAAAACATGTATATTTGCCTTTCTCAGTTTGACTAGGTGGTTGGACTAGAGCCCCATTATTCCAAGGATTTGTTCTTTCGCCGCCATATGCTCCAATCAGATGTTGCTTGGAGGTTCTGCCAACCCGTTCCCTTTTGCTACATCTTGGAAGAAAGAGAACAAGTGCCAGTGCCAAGATGATAAACCCCAATACACATGAAATAGTAATCCAAACCACTCTTTTAGTGTTTGTTTTCGATTTCTCGGAACTTGATTTCTTTGATGCAGTTGGTCCCTTGGCATGTTTCGGAGGTACCCGTCCAAAAAATGGTGTTCCAGGAACCACAGTTCCTGATGGTGAAGCTATTGTTGGAGAATGAGGAGGACGAGCAGGTGCTATAGTAGCATTACCATCATCAGGAGTAAATTGGTTTCCATCTTTACTGCATATAAAATATCACAATGAGTTATTGTCCTATTGAAGCACCAAAGCTATAGATAAATATTGATATATGTCACTCAAATTTCTGATGTGATACAAAAAAACAAACAGAAAATAATGGAAACTTTGATAAAGGAATAAACACTACATTTTTCTAGATATACAAGAAAACTGCAAAAATAAAGATGATGATAAACTGTTGTAGTTTTATGGTCTCGGCTTTAATATAGCCATGTTCCTCAGTTCCTGTGATGTGACCACTTGCTTAAGTGAAGCTTAATGGTTTACTATCATCCTTTTTTCGCCTTTCCCATCCATTTAAATTTCAAAGGAAAGGCAACATTTGATTTAACAGGTCAAGAAACACAAATTTCAAGCACAATTATTATACATCATATTTTCAATCATACATAGGTCCTTCATATCACAAATTGTTTAAAAATTTCATTGTGCAAATTATTTTAGAGAAAAATAATGCCGAAAAGATTTTAAAAATATAAACATCGTAAAATGCATACTGACTATAGAACATCTCAAATCATATACCTCTCAAACCTTTTAGACTTATGTTACCTTAAATTACATGTATAGGTATATTGCCTAGCTGTATAAATGGATGCAGCATACAATAGGTTGCTTTTGTGATTTGCAGTGCTACAAAAATTATGCAGGAAAATAAGCCTAATGCCAGAATGTTTTTCATAATTGCAAAACTGCACATCTTTGGAATTAACAGGTCTACAGATATTTACATGGAAATAGTGCGGAAAACCAAGTTCCAATTTCATCTTCATAATCTTCGGGCTCAGGATATCATCTCATATGACAAGGAAGCAAATACTTTATATTTTAAGATTCTCACCTAAAGTTAGGGATGCTTAACAACTTTGGAGGTATTGATCCAGAAAACTGGTTGTTCTCTACATTCCTGTTCAAATAAGATAGAATAAGCACGTATTAAGAGAGAGAATCACTATTAAATAAAAACTTCAAAATTGTATCAAATCCTAATATTCATTCAAGTTCCAAAAAGCTCTAAAATCCATTAGTAGAATAGTAACAAATTGATAAACTAACACTTTTAAAAATCATTTGGAATTGCTAAACAATTTTAATAGAACAAATTGATTGCAGATCGCAGAAAATTACAGTTTGTTCAAGTTTTGTTATGTCGGCAATACTTTGAATTCGATAGTGTGTCACAAAACAATAGTGATTTGTTCAACTAGTGCTACATTACAGATAGCACTGCTATAGAATCACTAGTTTTCCATAGATTTACAAGTCAATACCTGCTTAACCAAAGTTCTGGAGCATAACATATAGTTCTTTTAATTTCACTCAGGCACTTCGCAAAAGGTTTAACATCATCATGGCCGTCAGTAGCACATACTAGCAATATAAGCTCTGTACCTGTGAAACAAATACTAGCAATATAAAAAGGGTAAAATTGATCATCACCTTTGCAGCTGAATGAGACTTTGAAGCGAAAATAAGAGAAAAATACAGGGTGAGAAAGCGAAAATACCAGCTGTATCCCAGAGGCCTAAATTGACAGTTATGCCTTCAAAAACGCCGGAAGACGCGGTCTTAATGCAAGAATCAAAACTGTTCAGCATGTATACACATATTAAACAAAAAAATCAGCAAGTAATTAAACTTACTATCGATATTTAGTTCTTGGACAACGCTCTCAAAAGTATCTTGGATCAAAAGTCGTTGGTTGTGTTGTGGCTTCAAAATAATGAGTCATAAGACTCCAAAAAATTCAGCAATACTGCAAATACAACTAGAAACATTAGAAAACATACAATTTTACAACTACTGCAAATTTAGCTTCTGAATATTCAGGAAGTCTTTAACCTGAAGTTGTTTCAAGCACAGCCAGAAGGCTGTGACTGAGTCTGAGCAGACGAAATTTCAGCAAATCCTATTACACATATTAAAAGGCATTGACATTGAGGTGAGCAGCAGGGAATGAAAGTAATATTTCAGCAACATATTACAAAATAAATTAAACAACCACACTTAAGATAAAAATAATACCTTGTAAAGCATCTTCCGAAATCTCATACTCCTCATTGAATTCCAAGTCTTTGAATTGGTAAAAGGAAGGCCTCAACCAGTTCTGAGCACAAATTAATGCCTCCGCCATTTCTGGTTTGAGAGAGCTTCTATATACCTCTAAAACCCTTCCACCCGTGCTAAAAGCACTCTCAGAAGCTACGGTTGACACTGGCGTTGGCATGATATCCCTAACTATTTGGGACAGAACTGGGTATTTCCCGACATGATGTTTCCACCAACCAAGAATGTCAAAAGTGTCTTTATCCTTTTCATTAAAACTTATGCACTTTCCTTTTATATAGTTTTGAAGTTCAGTTTCTTCTTCAACTGCATCCAAAGACATCAAATGTTGTTGAAACGCATTTGCCCTAGCTACGGATGTGGGTAATTCATCGCTGGCTGCTGTTTCACCATGAGAAACAGCCGCTGCAACAGATGGAATTAAGCCTCCAGCAGTGTCGTATTGTTGTTTATAAAGGTTGAACATGGTTAAAAGATTGTCATTTATATCTTTTAATAGTGATTTACTAGTTTCCGAATTTTTTCCATACATATCATCAAAACACCATTCCACAAATCTCAACTTATATCGGGGATCAAAGATAACACCAAAATAAAGGAGTTGGTTCATCTTTGTGATATCAACCCAATATTTACTATACTTTTCCAGCATATCCCTAGCCACCTTAGCAAACAATCCATTAAGGTCCATATTTAACCTCTTAAGTTCAATGTAAATTGAAGCAAGGTATGGAAAAGCAGTATGCAAACTTGCTTTTGTGGAAACAGAAAAAATCTTTGTGGCTTCATAATAGTTCTTCAAAAACTTAATAAAAACCCTAACATTATCCCAATCTTGACTACTAGGGGGGGAGTCAACCTCAAAGAAATCCCTATAGGCTTCATCCGCATCTTCTAGCTTCTCAAAAGCACTTTGAAACTTCTCCGCGGAATCTAACATCAAATATGTCGAGTTCCATCTAGTTGAAACATCAAGACATACTGATTTCTTGCATAAAATCCCAGCATACTCCACACATTCTTTGAACTTTAAAGCCCTATGGGGTGAAGATCTAACAAACCTAATTGCATTTCTCACACTTGAAATTGAGGTGTTGGCAACTTGTAATCCATCTCTCACAATCAAATTCAGCACATGTGCACAACACCTCATGTGAAAACCAAATCCATCCATTAAGAGGCCATTCATGTTTCTTACTTTTTGTTCTAAATATTTAACAGCAACATCATTTGAGGTGGCATTATCTACCGTGATGGTAGAAACATTTCTTAGCCCCCACTCCTTTAAAACATCTTCAACCTTCTTACCAACAGTTTTTCCCCGATGGTTTGGGATACTCGTAAAGCTGATTATCCTCTTTTGGTATTGCCATTCTCTATCAATAAAATGGGCCGTGAGGGTCAAATAGTTCAGATTTTGGACAGATGTCCAACAATCGGTTGTAATTGCCACCCTACTACAATCAGAATTAAAGAACGCCCTCAACCTCACTTTCTCATCAAGATATAACTGAAAGCAGTCTCTAGCTATAGTTCGCCTAGACGGTATAGAAAATTGGGGCTGCATCTGCCTACAAAAGTACTTAAACCCCTCTCCTTCCACTGTACTAAATGGTTTTTCATCCAAAATGATAAAATAAGCCAACCCACTTCGACAAGCTACAGGATTAAACCTAGAACTTAATATTTCCTCAGTTGTTGAATATGACAAGATTATTTGGGTAGTGTCTGTGGACAAGTTCAACGGATACTTGGGACATGTTTTCATGTGACTCTTTAAGTTTGATGTTCCATGTTTCTTAGAGTCACACATATACTTTTGATGGCAGTACTTACAAGCAGCTGTTGGTGGGTCACTATTAGGAATAAGGTTAAAATGATCCCAAACCTCGGATCTCTTTCTATTACCATTTGCATTGCGTCTTCTTTTCCTTGGGTTAGTTGGTGGAAGTTCGGGTATTGTTGTAGTTTGATGATTAGGTTGGGAATGTTCATTGGCATTTGGTGTGTGTTGCCTAGATGCTGAAACAATTTGTTGGTGTTTAGGTTTTAAAAAACTATGCCAAAATTATACTAAAAAAACATCAAAGTAAGCCTAAAATTACCGGTATTTTGCATATCTCTAACTCCACCAGTTCCATGCTCATCTCCCTCTCCTTGCACATGTCCAACTCCATGCCCATGTCCAACTCCTTGCATTTCTTTACCTCTTTGCATTTAAAACAATATATTCAAAGTTATTAGAGCTAATCAAATTTAAACTGAACTCTTTTAAAGTTATTAGAACAAAATAAAACAAAACTAACACATACTTTCTTCAATTCTCTGAAGAGATTTCTCAGTAACACTGTAATGAAAACAACAACAGTGATTAAAATATTGAAAACAACAAAAACTGAACATTGTATTTGAACTATTGAAACGAAAATAAATAAATAAATACTGAGTTTATATGAACCTTAATAGCTCCAACACCAAAACTGAACTCAGAAAAAAGCTTTCTCCTATGTGACGAAAATGACGAGTTTAGAATAAATACCGAGTTTCTAATCCATTGGAAAAAAGAACAAATCAAAATAAAAAATAAAAATCTGAACACAAACCTCTTTGAAAACAAAGAAACGACACGGCGGCGCAGTGGTAGAGCTCGTTGTTCAGTGGAAGAGATTTCGTTGAGGACGACACGGCGGCGCAGTGGATGGTTTACGTTAGGGGTTTTGCTTGGGGTGACGGCGCCGGTGGTAACATTGTTACTGTCTTTTAGGGTTTTTCTTTTAGAACTGAGAAGAAGAAGAAAATTACATGAAAAGAGGAAAATTGATGGAATGGGGCATATCGTTTAAGAACACATCAAATTGGACCGGTCGGATTCGAGTACCGACGGGCCCAACTAATTGAACCGAAACCGACTTGATTTATCCATGCTTACCCGATTATCTCACCCGATCAACCCGTGCATCCGAAATAACCCGATCCGCAGCTGCTATATACATTCGGTTCGGGCGGGTATTTTCGGGTGGTTCTCTTCTGTCCACCCCTAGTCTGAACTAAAGTGAAGTGGACTCTAAATTCTTTGATGCTTATACCACTAATGGCAAGACGAATAAATATCAATATAACTAAATTAATAGATCCCCATGTTATAAATATAACATTCCCATTCCAAGTATCTTAATTTCAATCAACCATTGAACACAATTTTGTACAAGAGTGCAATTTGGAATGCACGGCCAGAAGACACTGTCACATCCATATCGACTATTTCACAATTTAATCCATATCTTAAGGATGTTTGAAAAAAATATATATTTATAATAGATTGGATAAAAATATGTAAAATAAGTATAGATACGAATATGAATGATTATTCATTAAAATAAATCGATATGAGTGTAGGCATAAATATTTTATTATCCATTCCTCATATCAGTATTACATGTTTATATAATAACATTTATAATTTTATATAAAAATACATGTTTTTATATTTTAAAAAATATATTACTATTAAATTATTATTTTTTATTATTAATTTTCTAATTTAATAATAACATTCATAATTTTTTTAATATTATTAAAAAAACTTAAAATTTATATAATATTTTATAATTAATTGATTTAATTTTACTATAAATATAAGAAAACGGACACAAATATGAATATTGAGATACCCATAAAATACGTTTACGAGTAAGAACATTGATGTCGCAAATTTAAAACTAAACACAAAGATTCTTTTAACCCGCAAATATGAAACGAATAGTATTGTTAAATTGTATTCATATGTGTCAAAAGAAGATTTGATTTGTTTAGATTTAAATAGATTTGAATTTAAATCTAGAATATATTTGATTAGATTTGATATTTTGGGCTTGGGTTTTAGCTTAGGGAGCAAGCTAACCTAAATCTATAAATAGAGGGAATAACCCCTATTTTGTAATCAAGTCATTCACAGTATTTTGCAGTTTCAAAGTGAATAATAAAATTTCCACAGTTTGTGGGCAGAGAGAAACTCTGCAGAAATATCTCTATTGTCTTTTCTTTATTTGTCTCATAACTAATCATTAGTGGTGGTCGAAATTCATCATAAAGAATTGGTGGATTTCCAACATCTGGTATCAAGAGCTTGTGTTACGATTAAAGGGAAGTGTCAATCAAGAACGATTGAAGAATTCACGATGACAAGTTATGGGAATGCAAACTATCCAGCAACGCTGCCAATTCTGAAAGTCGACAACTATGAGAATTGGTGCAAGCAAATGAAAGTCCTATTAAGGTGTCAAGGCCTTTGGGACCTTGTAAAAGATGGAGTCGAAGCGCTTGGCGAAAACGATTCAGAAGAAGAAAAGAAGAAATATACAGAATCTGAGAAGCAGAGTTATAAAGCATTGTTTATAATTCATCAATGTGTCAGCCCAGACAATTTCGAGAAGATTGGTGATTCAGAATCTGCAAAAGAAGCTTGGGAGATCCTTGAGAAGTCTTTTGGAGGCGCTGAGAAGGTGAAAGAAGTGAGGTTAAAAACTCACAA